TCTCCCGGAGCTGCAGATTCAATGCCATCCTTTGAAATAAATTCTTCTGCAGGGAGGGGCATCACCACACTTTTCTGTAGCACCCAAATCTTCAGAGATCTCTTCCTGAGGGCAAGCAATGAGCAGAGCCATGTTACAAGAACGAATTGTTTTTAGGTTGGGGCTAGAATTAAGTGTGAGTCCCAAATCCACTCATATATCTATGGTTTATATATGTGTCTGGTTTATTTTAGAGACATCATTGCCATTTCATGATAGAGAACATTATAAATCATCCCCCTGGGACATAAGCTATAGTATCCTTAATTTAGTCAATGGTATATAATTTAAAACACTGTTGAGAAAGAGAACTATACAAGTATAGGCCAGCTTTAGACGGCAATCCATGAGTTGTTGACTTATACAGATTAAACTCTTTCAGTGATTGAATACTATTTACACAAACAGTAGGGGCTGGTGATAGGGCAAAACTTTCAGTAGCACTTAGTCACAGAGGAAGAACCATGCCAATGAGATTAATACATGTCAGAAGAAAGCAAGGAGGGCGTTAAAAGCAAATACATATTGGTCCCAAGACCATTCATCGAGTGACCGCAAAGCACAGGACCTGAACCAGTCTCATCACCAGCAATACCATGGCCGTGGGACAGCAGCCTTCTGCTGCTTCTCACACTAGCCTCTCCGCCGTAAGCCCAGGGAGTATGTCAGTTCCATAAATCTACTCTAAGTGGGTTCAAGGCAAAGTTCAGTTCACTTGGTGGGGTTTAAAACCCACATCATATAATACTTTAGTCTTGTGATTGTATTTCTTTTCATTCCCTTTTAACTTTTCACTTTGAACTACTTTTAGACTAAGGCAAGAGTTGCAAGAATATTAGAATTTCTGTTTACCTTTCACCCAAGCCGCTGCCACGGAGTCGTCTCCAGCTCACAGCGGGTTCCTGAGGCGTTGTAAATCTCCCTGAGACCACACAGACGCACCTCTGCTCCCTGGGGAGCAGCTCATAGTTTTGAATCGCTGACCTTGCCCAATTCTTACCTGATAGTACCTAAAATGGGCATATAGCCATAGTACAACAGTCAAAGTCTGGAAATGGGCATTTGTATAACATTACAAACTACGCTACAGATACTTTAAAGAGCACTAGTCAGTTATTTTATAGAATATTCCTCAATTTGAGTTTATCTGATACTTCCTATGATTGCACTGAGCTTATGAGGGTCTGTGGGCTGTGCAGGGTGCTTCCTGTTATGCCTCACACTTTCCGCATGTCCGTACTGAATGTATCGATGGGTGGATGGATGCTTGAGTCTCTTTCAGGAAAAGTTGCCAAACCTGGGCGACTGTACAACTGAACTGCACCACAGCGCGAAGGCAGGATGGTGCTTCCTGAAAGAACTGGGAGCCAGCATATGACCCAGCAATCCCTTTGCTCAGTGTAATACCATAACGAAACAGGGAACACAGCATGAGCAGATACACGCACACCCACCGTCATCTTCATCTCAGCACCAGTCATGATAGCAAGAGGAAGAAGGGATACTTACATGTGGGTTCCTGTGTACAATGGAATATTACGCATCACTGCCGAATGATGATGAAGCTGAAACTTGTCACGACATGGATGGATGTGGAAGACATTATTACGCTTAGTGAAGTTAGTTAAACACAAAGGGACACATTTCGTAGGTGGCCACTGTTTTAAAAATGTGAAAATAAAAGTTATACTAAAAGAAAGAAACTTTGAGGACTCTTGGGCATGCGATGGGATAAGAGAGGAGAAGGAGTCGGGCAGAGGGGAAGGCAGGTGCCAGCCTGGTGAAAGGAAGGTCATACCCCACAAAGGGGAGAGAGGCAAACCTGGGGTGCAGGGCATGCTAACGGCAGGGCTGATACGTTGTTAAAGTTGTAGACTATAGAAGTGATGATCTGATAGGTCAACCCTTCCTTAGTGGATACATGATCTGATAGGTCAACCCCTTCATAATCAAGTTAAAAGAGAGAGACAATATATAGCATTTCAGCTAAATTTGGTACATACATTTCAGCTCAAAGTAATGAAGGCCAGGAATTTCTACAGGTTGAGATAAATTGGGAACTACACAGTGTCTAAATCAATTAACTCTACATAAAATGAAAAAGTATCAGTCATATAAAAATGTAATATGGTTAAGAGATTGAGTTAAAAGGTAAACAAAAGCAAAATGACGTAAACATGTAATAACAGCGGTTCTCAACCTGTGGGTCGAGACCCTTTGGGGGTTGAACGACCCTTTCACAGGGGTTGTCCTGATTCATAACAGTAGCAAAATGACAGTGATGAAGTAGCAATGAAAATAATTTTATGGTTGGGGGGTCACCACCACATGAGGAACTGTATGAAAGGGTTGAGGCACGAGGAAGGTGGAGAACCACTGCTATAATATAAATCAGTAACCTAATTAAAATGTAGGCATATTGCTCTGGAAAAAAAAAAGACAAACCATCTAAGGTGCAGCTATTGGTCTTTCCCTTTCTGGAGGAAAGGCGAGGGATGAAACAGAAACATTTAATCCCATAGACTGATGGACCTTGCAAACATCCGTCTCTACAGCCCCGAGACCCAAAGAACTAGGTAGTGCCCTGCAACCCCTGTCAACTACTCCGAGAAGAATCACATTAGGAGGCTCTGTGGAATGGAAGAAAAATATGGAACAAACTTAAAATCCTAGGAGAGACCAGGCTGACTGTGTGGAGAGAGCCCCTGCGGCTGGAGCCCTAGTCACCTTTCCGGTCTGGAGCTAACCTTACCCCACGTTAGCATAACCAACCATTTGCAATAAGCAGGGCAGCACCTCCCCGGGGACAGAATACAGACGTTCAGGAAAGGAGGAGGAGTACAAACAGGAAACACGGAGGACACGGGACATGTGGTGGCACATTGAGGGATTGCAGTGGATGAGTGGAAACAAAATGGGTGTGAATGATTGAATGTAAAACCAATGATCTGCTCTGTAAACCTTTACCCAATTTACAATGAAACATTAAAAAAAGGAAGCAAGCAAGCAAGCTTCCAAATCTTGTTATCTCCATCCATGGAAACCTCTTCACACGTTGCCTGTGTGGAAGAGCAGCATATCAATTCTTAATCCCCATTTCTTTCTAGATGTAGAAATGCTACAAGCCAGTGCATCCTCACAAAGGTCTGGAGACAGTTTCTCTTGGACCTCCAAGGACTCTATGATCCGACAGTTTTTAGAAGGTAAGTATAGGAGTGAGAAAGAAGCAAAGGAGGTAAAGAGAAATAAAACCACCTCCATTCATCCTTGTTGCAACCCTGGGAGCTGGGTACCAGCTTTCATGTTGCAATGAGAGAATTGGCTAGGAGAGGTAAAGTGATGTGCCCACAGGCATAGAGCCTGCAGTCGTGTCCCTGCTTTACCCACCGGGACACTCTGTTATCTTCTCCAGAGGAAATCCAGCTGTCCCCTACCTCCTTCCCAAAGGAACCATGTGGCAGTCTGGCCTCATCACTTGATCAGCACTCATTACCAGACCATTAGTCTATGGGGAGCACTGGTGTCTAAAGAAGAGCGTACGTTTGGGCAAAGCATTTTAACCCTCAAGACCCCAACACGAGAGTGTTGGCTGTGCTGACTGACTCCATAGCATTGTTAGGAGATCAAAGGGGATAATCTAGTTAGAAGAGTGCTTGGTAGTGGGGAAGTCCTCTGGTACAATTTGCTATGGTCATCTGGAATGATGGGGAAGAAGATGCTGGAACTGTTGGTGGGGAGGACTCCAGGACATCCGTACACTGCTGCCCAAGCACTGGGGGCAAGAGTGGCAGAAGAGGGATGGGGGTGAGGGTAGTCTTAACCACCCTGAAGCCTTTTGGGCAATGCCATCTTTATTCCTAATTGTGATAAGATGAATAACAGAATCCCAGCAGAAAAACCAATATTTCAGAACCTTGTGTTCACTGTCCTTTGCAGCAGAGCAGTGGTGAATCAAGGAGGTACCTCAGCAGCTGCATGGACTTCTGATGAGAGTATACAGGAGATGGGGGCAGGGGATGGGAGGAATCCCAGCAGCCACCCGTTCTTTTGACCACCACTTTCATTTGACTTCCCCTCTGTCTCCTAGGCAGCAGTGTGGGGATGGCCCGTTTGGAGAAGGAGCTGCCCCAGCTTGGTCGGGATGAAGATGTTTACCACACGGTGGATGAGGATGACACCTTTTCTGTGGATGTGGCCAGCAGGCCCCCTGTTCCAGTACCCAGGCCAGAGATGGGTCCTCCTGGTGCTCACCAGCTGCCCGACAATGAGCCGTACATTTCTAAAGGCAAGTGGCTGGGGCTAATGCCCAGTAGGGTCTTCAGAGCTACTCAGCCGGAGTTCCCTATGTCCCTTAGCTGTATGGTCCTGAATGGTCTCTAAGGAGCCCCAGGAGACAATGGCCTTGGCTCAGGGCAGATTCTGTAGCTAGATGAGGGCAGTGACCCCACGGAGCTCCAGCCTTTTCAGAGGCATTGACAAAGAGATTTCCCCTCTCCCCAAGGCAGAGCCAAGAAGCGAACCCAGGACATCTTAATCATCCTCTCATCCCACTACTAGGTGACCATCGTTTCAGTCCATTGGAGCAGGGCACTCATTTTACTTGTTCCACTGCCCAGAGTTCTCTTAGGACGCTTGTTGTCGTGTTAAGTGGCTCTTCCTTTAATTCTCCAGCATTGGGATGGCCTTGGCTAGGCTTGGGTGTGTGGATATTCCGAGCACGTGTCCTTGTTCATATTATCCTTTTCTTTGATGATCTCCCATACCAGGGTTCTCAAACTTTTAAAATAGGGGGCCAGTTCACTCTCCCTCAGATCGCTGGAGGGTCAGACTATAGTTTTATAAAAAACACTATGAACGAATTCCTATGCACACTGCACATATCTCATTTTGAAGTAAAAAGACAAACAGGGCAAAAACACCCGGGGGGCCGGATAAATGTCCTCGGCGGGCCGCTTGTGGGCCACGGGCCGTAGTTTGAGGACCCCTGTCCCATACACTGATCAAGTCTTCCGCTGGCCTTGACTGTCTAGGTTTGGTGGACTGGCTATTTGGTTCCTCTTCATTGGATAATCCCCACCCTTCCTTCTCAGGAGCCTTGGTGGTGTAGTGGTTATGTGTTGGGTTGCGATCCTCAAGGCTGACTGCTTGAAACCACCAGCCGCTCCCTGAGAGAAAGACAGGGCTTTCTACTCCTGTAAACAGCTCGTTTTGGAAACTCAAAGGGAGCAGTCCTACCCTGCCCTATAAGGTCGCTATGGGTTAGGACCGACTCGATGGCAGTGAGTTCGGCTTTTTGTTGTTGGTTGACTTTTCCTTCTCATTAATTATCTCTCTCTCTCTTATTCTTAAGAAAACATTTCCTTGTGATGTGAGACAAAAGTTTAAAGAGCAAACTGGCTTTCTCTTCAACAATTCGTACCCATTTTGTTTTGTGACATTGATTTCAACCCCACTCTTTCCACTTCCGTTTGTTTACCATTTATGTTTCCTGTTTTCCTCTTTTTTGTTCTCTCTTTCTGGACTCCTAGCATGGATTCACTGTGGATGTTGTTTGTACATTATTTTGACTGTCAATGTGCAAAATACATAAGGGCCATTTAGAAAGAGGCCTGATTTGACTTTTACTCCGAATGTTCTTTATCTTACAGTGTTTGCAGAAAAGAGCCAAGAGCGGCCTGAGAATTTGTATGTTTCCTCGGAGAGCATCCGGAAAGGTAAGTCAGCTGTCTGGTTCCCAGAATCCTTTCTTAGGCGTTACCTGCTGTGTGGAAGAGGCAGGTGATGGTCCATCAGTGAAGACTACACATCCCACTGTAGAACGGGAGGCGAATGCTGACTCTCCGCTGATCCTAATGATAAAGGGAGGGAACAGGAAGTTAAGGCACCCTAGAATATGCCCCTGGATGGGTGCAAATGGGCATCATGCCAGGTTGCTAGCCAACAGGTTGAAGGTTCAGGTCTACCCAGAGGTGACTCAGAAGAAAGGCCTGGTCATCTACTTTGGGGAAAATGAGCCATTGAAAATCCTGTGAGGCACAGCTGTCCTGGGACCCTAAAGGGGTTGTCAGGAGTTGGAGTCCATCCAGTGAGACCTGCATTTCAGGGGGACCGTGGTGTTTGGGTGGTGGAGTCCCCACCTTCCATGTGTGCAACGAGGGTTCAATTCCTATAAACCTCACCTGCGGGCACCATCTGTCTGCCAGTCGGGACTGCGTATCCCTCTGAAGCAGAAGCATTCTCAGCAGAGCTTCCAGACAGAGATGGACTAGCAGGAAAGACCCGGAGACCTGCTTCTGCAAACCAACCAGCTCGCCCCTTACTGGATCATGATGATGCCGTCTGCAGCTGGGCGTGGGGATGGCGAGGACCCGGCCTCCTTGCACTCATCGTGTCTGGGGTTGCCACGATCGGGGGTGGCTCCGGCGCCGCTGACAATAACAACAGAGTATTGTGTAAGCTGGTCAGACAAACGATGCTCTCACACCAGAAGAAGGTGTTCGTACAGCCCACAGAGTGCCATGTACACAGAGATGGATGCCAACAGGATGGAAGTGGGCAGCTCTCTCTCTCACTGTCCAGCCCTCTCTGTTGTAGACGAACTCCCTTGCTGGCTAACCCAAACTTGAACTCAACCTTTATTTCAGAAACAGTTTATTGGCCACCAGGGAACCCTACAGATGCCCCGTTTTTCTCTTAAAAAAAAAAAAAAGACAACAGTGCCTTGTGTTTTTCCTTCCTCCACTTGATTAATTCCTGAGTGCTAAATAACAGAGTTGGGTTGCTACCTTCAAGGCCAGCTGTTCAAAACTGCCAGCTGCTCCTTGGGAGGAAGATGAAGCTTTCTACTCCTGTGAAGAGTTAGTCTCAGAAACCCATGGGGCCAGCTCTACAGGGTCTCTGTGCGTCAGAGTGGACCCGATGGCAGTGAGTTGAGTTTTTAAATAGAGGCATTTCGTATCATCCCTGGTGATTCTTTTGAAAAGTAGTGGTGACATTATGTAAGCATTTCAAGACACCCTAAGTCGATGCCCCTGGGAGCCGCAGTCCAGACAAGAAACAGTATTGCATTGGGCAGACCTGCTGCACAAGACCACTGAGAAGTGTTCAGGGGCAAAGGTGTCATCTTGAGGGCTCAGGTGCACCTGGCCCCAGCCCGGGTAATTTTCAGTGGCCTTAGATGCATGTGGAAGCTGGACAGTGAGTAAGGAAGACCACAGGCAGACCGGTGCGTTTGCATGATGGTGGCCAACAAACACAGGAACAGTCTGTCTTGGGAGATGTACAAGCAGAATGCTCCTGAGGAGCGAGGGCTGGGAGGGTGGCGCAGGGCGGCGCCATCTTGTTCTCTTGTGCATACACAGTCACTGTCAGCCAGACTGACTGGGTGGGACCTAACAACGACCAAAACCTTTGGTTGTGATGGATTGGAATCGGTTGGTTTTGCATCATTTTGTGTCCCAACAGCCTGATCACCCAATATCATTACAGACTGCCTTGAAAGGGGCAAACCTACAAAAAGCGTACGTGTGTATATACGTGTGTGTAACCAGAGGAGAAAGTGGTTGGGCTGAATGGTAGCTCAGCTTCTTTGAGGCTGGCTTTCCGTCCCCATCGGGAAACCTTCTGCCCTTTTCCTTCCTGATAACTTCCTGAATACAGTGCTCAAATGAAGTCCTGCCGGGGAAAGGTAGAATCAAAAATTAGCCCGGCATGCAGTGGGCAGTAAAATGCCAAACTGCCTTCCTGTGCCCAAATCACCCCCATCCCATCCTAGCTCCCTCCCCCAGGGAGCCTTAGTACAGCTGAGTCTCAGCCTAGGGGTGGGGGTTCACGTCACACTTTTTCTGGACTCTCCAAAGCAGAGAACCAGGAATGTGTCAAGTGGAAGACTTGACCAGTGTTGGTCCTGGAACAACCCAAGGAGATGACTCAGGACCCAGTTTATACCTGATGGTAAAGGCCTCGAGTCCTGAGTCAGTTGGCATTCCAGGCTCCACTGGCACACCATGCCCATCAGCCTGTAGTCACTGCACCGTGTGCTGCTTGGAGACAGTGAGGGTGGGAAGGCCTGGAGAAGGATCCCGAGCACGCTCCTTTCCCTGTCATCTCTTCTGGGAGGGGACTTTAGACTCTCAGCTGGCAGGGACTTTGCCTGTCAAGGGACATTAGGCAATGTCTGGAGACACAGCTGGGTAAAAGCCAGGTTTGCTGCTAACCATCTTATAATGCAAAGGAAGGAGCCTGCGCAGTGAATTACCCGGCCACACTGCCAGTAGCCAAGACTGAGAAATGTAGGCTGACCGACTGCTCAGTAATTGAAGCGTAGGACAAAAGTTCCCAGACTTACATGGCCTACTGCCCCCTTTTCAGCGATAAAACTCTTCAGTGCCCCCCCTGCTGGCCATTAACAACCTTTGTTGTTAACCCACTGGGCCACCAGGACTCCTTCAAGTGTGATAGACCGAAATGGTTAGGTCCTCTCCTCTCCCCGGGCTCTGCCATCTGCCCTCCTTCTGGCTGCCTCCTGTTACTGTCCATCTGAGGCACGGTCCCTCGAACTTGTGACCAAACTCGTCGCCCTCCGCCCCATCAGCTCTGCTAAGGTGACCAGACGTCCCACTTTTTAACAATTTTCCCCGCGTTTAAAAAAAGTCCTGATTTTTGGAAAGAATGCACGACAAGCTAGGGTAGACAGTTTTCGGCTGCCATGTGGCTATTTCGCCAGGATATGAGTTTTATCAATGGCGTCCCACTTTCCCGATGTGAAAATCTGGTCACCTTAGCTCTGCTGAGTTTTGCTTCTCTCTCTCTCTCTCTCTCTCTCTCTCCCTCTTCTAGAGCCACCTGTCAGACCGTGGCGGGATCGGCCCCAGTCGAGTATATATGACCCTTTTGCCGGGATGAAAACGCCAGGCCAGCGGCAGCTCATCACCCTCCAGGAGCAGGTGAAACTGGGCATCGTCAACGTGGACGAAGCCGTGCTCCACTTCAAAGAGTGGCAGCTCAACCAGAAGAAGCGCTCCGAGTCCTTTCGCTTCCAGCAGGTAACCGGCTCGGGTGGCATTCGATACACTGTTTCTCCCCAGGACTGTCGGCCCTGGGGGTGCTGGTCTTGTTTACTGCTGGAACCAAGCACCTGTGGCCGTGCCTGGGAATGTTTGCTTGTCATTGTGAGTGTGTGTGTGTGTGTGTGTGTGTGTGTGTGTGTGTCTGTCCGTCCCTGTAGTCTGTAACAGCACAGCTCGCTGACCAACAGCTGGAGAATTTCTGGGGTTGCCATGAGGTGGGGGACCAGGGACGGAGACTGAGCTGTCAATGCAGGCTGCCCCGTGGCCGCCCCGTGGCTGGCCCTATAGGTTCCACCTCCCAGCTTTTCTCTGTGCAGGGTCCTGCTCTCTGCTCCGGGGGCAAGTCTCCCACAGAACCAGCACTCTTTACACCTCAAAGACAACTTGAAACCCTCCCAAGAAATGCTAAGGAAGCATAGTAGGTTATAGTTTAAAAAAACGCTCCAATTAAAACACAGTGGGTGGGGGGAGGGGGGGAGGGGCAGCCATTTCCGTATAACAGCCCTCTGACCCCAGGTCAATTCCCAGTCCTCTCGGCCCTCGCTCGGGTTTCTGAGCTTGTCCATCTCTGTGGAAGCAGCCAGCCTCATTTCTTCCGTGGATTGGCTGGTGGGTTTGGACTGCCATCCTCTGGGTAACAGCCCAGCACCCAGTACAAAGAGCCCTGTACTGGGCGGGTCACTCCAAGGACAGTGGTTTGTGGGAAAAAGATGGGGCGGTCTGCTCCCATAAAGCTTTCTAGTTTCAGAAAGCTTTGAGATCAGTGCTAGCCCGTCCAATAGGCCCGCTCCACTGGACGGGAGTGGGTGGGTTTGTAAATACAAAGGCAAAGCTCTGGATGGGGCCACGCCTGTCCCTCCCAGGTTAGGCTACCTCTTGGGAGAGTCTGGGGTTTGAGTGCTGAGTATCAGAGGACATCTGGCGGTATCTGTACATTTAAGGGTGGTTGTTTTGTTTATGAGCTTGTACTCATGCACTACATGCATAATTAAAAACAACCAAAACAGCTCCAAGGAGCCTTACAGAGCACATCCCTAGTGCAACTCCTTCCCCTGGAAACACAGGAACTTGGCCCCAGAGAGAGTTAAGGGACATGTCCCAACTCACTCAATCTGCCAAGCAGAGTCAGGTCAGGGGCTCTTGCTTTTCCCTCCACCTCCTCAGTGCTGTACCCGCCCACCCCACCTCCCGCCACCCCCAGTAGGGTGTGTTCTGTCTTCCCTTACAGGAGAACTTGGCTACGCAGCTTTGGGAGGTGGGGGACAGCGCTCACTTATGGAGAGCCTGGATGGGAGATGGGAGATGGGAGCTGGGTTTCCTTGGGTGGGTGAGGCAGGTAGATCAAGGAAGCAGCTCCTAATGGTGTTTGTGGGATTTTGCCTGCAGGGTGCTGGGCACCGGTCAAGTGCAGAATAGATGCCCTCGCTTTTGCTCCTTAGAGAACGTGTGAAATACATGCTCTCCCTCCCGTTTTGCAGAGAACCGCGGCTCAGGGGGGTGAGGAGGCAGTTAGTCAGCTCTTTCTCACCTCAGAGCCCTGCTGCCTGCTTAGTGCTCCTTCACACGGGGTCACCCAGCCCCAGCCCCAGCCCCAGCCCCCTCGGAGGAGGGAAGGCACACTGGAGGAGGAAGGCAGACATTCAGGACCCGCCGCATGTAGGCGGCCCCGCAGGTGGCCATCCTGTTGAGTAGCCTTGGCTCAGTTGAGTTTTCTTTCCTTTTTTGTTTATCTTTTCTCTCCTTGCTGAGTTGAGTGACCACGTGGGACAGCAAAGCGTAGCCAAGGGTTCTGGCGCCACACTGCCTGAGTTCAAACCCTTTGCCAGCTACATGACCTTGGGCTCTTGGGTGCTTCTGCACCCTCAGCTTTGAAACGTGAAGGGAGGGCACTAGAGGAGCCAGCCTGGCCCGTAGTACGGACATTATAAAGGTTCACTATAGGTAGCCGTGTCTTTCTGTAACTATATCCAGGAGGCTTCCTCCTCCTCTGTGCTCACAACGGGTGAGCGTATCTGCCAGCTGGGGTTCATATCCAACATGGCGTAGCCCCTGGGAGCTGGCTGGCAGTGTTCTGTGCCTGGCCGCCTCTTAGTGGTTCCTGAACGCCCCACAACCACCATCACCACCACCTCCAGGGGCAGGGGGAGCTGGGGACTGTTCGTGGAGTGGCCTCCCTGCCCACTCCTGTCACCTCCGTCCCCGCCCACAAGGGACACGGCTCAGGCTTCCCTCAGCCACTTCTTGTGAAGATGGCTCTTGAATGCATGTCTTCAGCCCCCCCACCCCCACCCCCACCCCACCCCAGGTGCCCTTGACCCTGCAGCAAATCCAACAACAAAGCAGCACTCCAGGCTGCTTCCCTCTCCAACTCGTCTGCTTCTCTTTGCCTCCATTACCTTCCAGGGACAGGTTCCGTCGTCAGATGCCTCCGTGTCCAGTTAGGTGCATGCCTGGCCCTCTTGCATCTCCTCTTTCATTCCAGTCCCCTAGCCACACTCCACAGGAGCCCTGGGTGGCCTAGTATGTACGGGTTGGGCTGCTAACTGCAAGGTCACCAGTTCTAAACCACCAGCCACTCCTCGGGAGAGAGATGGGGCTTTCTACTCCTGTAAAGAGGTGCAGTCCAGGAAGCTCACAGGGCCAGTTCTCCTCTGCCCACTAGGGTTGCTATGAGTCAGCACGGACTCGCTGGCAGTGAGTTCGATTCGGTGTTGTGAGTGACACCCCTATCCGGCATTATCACTTACATCTGGGCAGCTTACCTCGCAGTCTGCAGGTGGGTCTGCAGGAGGGGACTGCAGTCTGTCCCCTCCAGTGTGTCTCCAAGCTGCGAACAACTCACAACTTTTGAGTGTTTCCCTCCTATTTCTTGGACAAAACTCGGTCCCCCTCAGCCTAGCAGGGACAAACCGACAAACCTTTCCAGCCCAACCATCTGAGACTCCCCTCACCTGGTCTTTCTACTCCATCCATTCTTCTCTGAGGCTTTGTCCCTAGATGACTCAGACACCTGTCTTGGAGGTTATCGCTGCTTATTAGTTAAAAGAACAACAGATCTTGACCCTTACACCTCTCACTCAGACTCACTGTCACAAGTCAATCCTGATTCACACTGACCCAACCCGACAGGGAGAATAGAACTGCACCCTCTGGGTTAACAAGGCATCCGTCTTGATGAGAGCCAAAGCCTCATTCTTCTCCTGAGAAGCAGTGGGTGGTTTTGAACTGCTGACATTGAAGTTAGCAGCCCAACTTGGAGGAATTCTTTTGAATGTTCCCAGACTAAAGAAATCACCACCGGCTCCTACCAAACAACACAGAAAACCCCAGGGAAAGGGCTAGGTGCCACTCTCTTCTGGCGAAGGGTGGGGAGGTCCTCATGGCTTCCTGCAAAATATATGGGGAGTGTGAGTTTACTTTGTGCCCTTTTCCCGGAAAATCCCCTCTGAATTTCTTTTGGTTCGCAAACACAGGTAATGTCGGCAAAGCAGGGCGAGCACACTCTGGGAAAGCAGAGTGCTTATGCTTGGATCTCGGGGGCGGGGGTGTGTCAGGGGGAACTGATCCTGCATGGCACCTCCTGCCCAGGTTGAAGATGGGATTGCAGTGTGATGGGTCTTGCAAACAGCTTGAAATCAGCAAGAAACCCAAGGGCCCTTGGGGCATCATGCTGAGGTCTACTTTCAAAATGAGCGGTGTTTTTTCCCCCCTGCAGGAAAACCTTAAGCGGCTAAGAGATAGCATCACGCGGAGACAGAGAGAGAAGCAGAAATCAGGAAAGCAGACAGGTATGAGCATCCGCTGGAGACATTACCGTGTGGACCTTTGCTTCTTTCTGTTGCCCCTGACGACCCTTTCTGCTGTGGCCTCAGTGGGCAGCCTGCCTGTCCAGCACCTGTCACTCTGCGTGCAGTCTGCACCCCCACCGGACTGTGGGGGCCTTTGGAGAAGAGCTTTTGTCTTGTGTGTCTTCTGAATGTCAAGTACCCGGACCCTGCCATGCCCAGATGAATGAGTGAGTGAGTGATGATTGGGACCAGCCACACTCCACCGCCACCCACTCAGAGAAGCGGAGAATGCTTTCTCCCCAAGCATCTGACTGTCCCCTTGGCATCTAGGAGGATGTGTTACCTGAGCAGAGAAAGGGGGAATGTCTTTTACTCAGTGTCTGGCTCTACCTTGCTTGAGAATCACATCAGAGGTGCCTGGCCCTCACCTGGCTGCTGGCACCCAGGACCCTGAGCCATGGAGCTGTGGGGGTATGTTGGCAGGGCTACGAGTTCCAGGTGTGCACTGTAGGTCAAACCCGCTTCTCCCTGAGGCCCACCCTCCCCCGGTGCCACCCATGTGGTACCCCCATCCCTTGAGCATAAGAGGTTGGAGTTTGTACACCTCTGGCGTGGTGGGGCTCTGGGCTTTACCAAGCGGGTCATTTGTAGCAAGAGGAGCCATCAAGCAGGGCTTTCCCCACTGCGTCAAAACTTCCTCCACAGCTTGTCCTGCCTCTGCATAATCCCCTGGGCTCAGGCTGCCGTTCCTACTCAGACTTTCCGTGGACCTGGGCAGGCTGATCCCATGACAACATGCTGATCCCCAGACAGGCCTGCTTCCTGCTATAGGATCCTCACTCGGTTCCTCCCTTCCCACCTAGATGCAAATAACTGGGCTGTAAGAGCCAAGGGGGGCAGCCCCTTCTCTCTAAAGCCCTCTTCCACTGGTTCATTGTTTTTGCCTCAGTCAGAGTTCTCTATAGAAATAGGTCAGTAAGCCACTCCGCACCCTCCCACCCCCCAGACACATGAAGGGGCTTCAAAACGCTTGTGGAAATTTTCAAATATCTTTTGATTCCATGTTTCCATGAGCTTTTTGAAGCCCCCTGGAGTATCCTTTCATGTGCTTATTGGTACCACTGCTCTGGAGAAGTGTCTCTTCAAGTCTTGGGGTGCTCCGTCTGTCATTGAAATGTAGAGCTTCCAATGACCTTTTAAAAATAAAAACCAGTTGGCACTACTCCCTTACTCCAAACTCACTAGGAGCCCCGGGAGCTCCTCACCTATCAATCCTAGCTCCTCACCTTGGCCTGTGGAGCCCTGCGTGATGTGACCCGAGCTCACCCCCAGTCTCCCCTGCCATCCCGGGCTCCCACCACAACTTGCTTCTTTGGGGGCTCAAACGAGGCGAGCACATGCTTCCCTCGGCCCTCCCTCCCGTGGCAGGTGCTGTTTCCCATGCTTTTCCTGCATCTGCCCGGGACTTCACCCTTCAGAGCTCAGCTCTCAGCGAGGCCTCCGCCGCCAGTCCATCCTATCCCATCGTTGCCCGTCTTTGCAGGGCACTCCTCGTGCTCTGGAATCGTCTTACGTTTCTGTTCCTTTGGCCCAGTGAATGCTCCCTCCTAGACTGTAAGCTCCACAAGGACAAGAAGTCATCTGATTCGCGCCCAGCTCATCCCCAGGGAAAGCCCAGTACCTTGACGGTACTCAGGCGCTCCATGCTTTCCATGACAGGCGTGGTGTGCCGCCCCTCAGTCATTCCAGAACGACGTCCAAAGTGCAGGGCACCCTCCCCTCCCCAGTGCAGACCTGTCAGACCCCGTCTTTGCCCTGGAGCAGTGGACGAGGTAGTGGTCATGTTATTTGTCGAGGTCTGGGTTTCCCTGCACTGGGGCTGCTGTGGCTTCCTTCCGTTGCCCTGTCCCTGCATGCCTAGCACAGAATGGTGCAGGTGGTGGCAGCCCAGTGAAGGGTCCAATGGTTCCATCCACAGCAGGTGGTGGGGGGAAGTGCAGAGCTGGGCACTGCTTTGCTCTGTCAGGCACCAGGTCCCCTTGAGTTTAGGTCCACTCTCAGGCAACTGGACGTAACAAGTGAATGTTAATGACTTTAAGTGTTTGGGGAAGAGAGAGTAGAGGCTATCGCTACCACAGACAATCAGAGAGGTTGTCCTAAGACTTCAGCTTGGGTGTCTAGATTTTACATTGCTGCTGCTGCTGCCGCCACTGCCACCCAAGCCCACACTTGTCTGGCCTCGTAGTTGGGAGGAGGAGGACAGGGAGAAGGCTGAGAATCCGGTCCAAGCTCCGCACAGCCAGCCTTGGGTCCGATGCACAGCCAGCCTTGGGTCCGACGGGGGCTTTAAATGGGAGGATGGCTGAGTGCTTTTTTAAAAGCCAGAACACGTGAACCCAAGGAGAGAATTCTTGAGTAGATGAAGCGCTGCAGGCTGTAAGATGCAGGCAGCATCGAGAGGCCTGTGATTTGGTGGTGGCCCTGGTGCTTGAAGGTCAGGCCATTGTCGTGCTGGAAGTGCAGGTTCTTAGCCTGCAGCGCTCGAGAGCTGGGCTGATCAGGTGCCCTCCACGCCCTCCACCTGCCCATCTGACGGGCTCTGCTGGATGCCACTGGCCGCCATCATGAAGCCAGACAACATGCATACAGTAAGGTAGAGGGGAGTGGGCACAGGCCCTAGGGCCAGCAGGCTGGCATCAAATTCCAAGTCACTGTTCCCACCTGCTAACTGGAGAGACCACGAGCAACATGCTTCACGTCTCCACGCCTCCATCCGCACCAGCACAAAGACACAAATGAGCGTGTAGCCCATGGGGGTTGCTGTGAGGATGGAATGAGCTGGGGTGTCCATGGGGCTGCGCCCAGTGCCTGGCACACAGGAACACCGTGAAAGCACGTACCCTCACGGTGATACACAAGCTCTCAGGCAGGGCATCTAAGGGTGATGCATGGGGCAGAGACTCACGTTCCTGGAGTCAGCGTTTTGAAACGTAAGAGTTGATCCACAGTTAACCAGGCCTGAGTGTTTTATACATCCCTCCGGCTGTAGTTGGCATCAGAATGGTCAGTGTCTTAAATTTTTCCAAAGACACATACCTTCGTTTGTACCCCTTTCTCCCCAACCCCCACCCTCCCCAACAGCTATGCGAAAGCAAGTCACTTACCCGTGGGAGGGGATCCCAGGGGATCTGGTGGGGGTGGGGTGAGTGAGACAGGGAGGCAAAGGTGGGCCACCAAGTGCAGTTACTCCTGTGGCAGTTGGGCCTCCAGCTCACCAGGGACTCTGGGAGTCAGTCTTCACACCCGAGGCGTGGACACACCGTGTTCCAGCACTGTGGGTGGTGGCCTGCTGGGGGAGGAGCACACGTCCCTGGGCCACCACAGAAAGCCCCCGGCTGCTGACAGTGACAGCCCAGCCCTGTCAAAGGGAGGCCCAAGGGCACAAGAGCAGAGAGGGGCCTCACTGATGGCCGAGTAAATCTGACGTGTTTGGTGACCATTACAAAAATCCATGTATGTATTTAGTTACCTGATACTTTATCATGAACTGTTCCCAGGGTAGGAGCCGTGGTGCTGTCCCGGTGATGCGTTGGGCTGCAATCCTCCAGCTCAGCAGTTCAAAACCACCAGCAGCTCCTCGGAAGAGAGGCAGGGCTTTCTACTCCTGTTACAGCCTTGGAAACCCACAGGGGACAGTTCCACCCTGTCCTTTGGGTCGCTATGCGTTGGCATCGACTCAATGGCAGTGAGTTGAGTTATTCCAAGGATGAGAGACCCTGGTGGCATAGTGGCTTAGGAGTTGACTGAACACCACGAGGTCTGTGGTTCAGAACCACCAACCATGCCTCTGGAGAAAGATGAGGCTTGATCTATTTTAAATAAACAAACAAACAAACAAATAAATAATAAGAAAGAAGAAAGAAAGAAAGTCATTAATTAGAATTTTAAAAGATTTAAAACCTCAGAAACTCAAAGGGGCAGATCTACGCTGCCCTCTAGGGTCAGGATGAGTCTGAATCGACTGGACAGCAGGGTGTGAGATGCTAGGGGTGAGGAGCCCTCCTGACACAGTGGGCTGAGCGCTGGGCTGCGAGCTGAAGGGTGTCAGTCTGAACCCACCGAGAGAGAGCGGGGAGGCCGTCTGCTCCCGTCAAGATTCACAGCCTCAGACACAGCTCTCCGTCCTGCAAGGTCCCTAGGAATCAGAGTTGACTGTGGGCAGTGGGTGGTCCAGGGGTGCTCCCACTGAATTCCTTGAGGTGCCTTCGGGCTGCTGTGTGTGTGTTTGCTAAAAGGGAGGTTGAGAGTGGGGCAGTGAGCAGGGAAGTGGGGTAGAGGAGGGGCATGGATTTGAAGCAAGCACACTCCTTGAAGTCAGGGTTCGGGGTAACTGACCAACACTCATTGCTATCAGGTCTACTCATGGTACCACTGGGGAGGTTCGATCCAGCACGCGTTAAGGCAAGTGCCAAGTACTTGGGCCACTTGGGGATTGATTCTCCATCGTAGTTCCTTGTGAAAATCAGCCCCCATATTGAGCTGCTGCTCCGTTATAGAAAAGACTTCTGCTTCACTAGAAACAGAGAGCCTTTGAGAGCCAGTGCACATGCTGGTATTGAGCAGAGGGGAAGTGAGGGTGGATGGTGTTTCTGCCTGATGGACTGTATCTAGAGCATACTCCGCATAAGACACAGGGACCGATTCTCTTCATTTGGAAACTTCGTTTGCCATAGGAAAGAGAAAAGAAGAAAAAAATCAGTGTTTTCTGTCATTTGGGTTAGCACAGCAAAGAGAATTAAAAACGAAGCATCTGCTCATGATCACTTGCTGAGGGAGGTGATCCGCCTTCCTGGAAGGGTGCAGAGCTGGGATGACCCCGGAAACTGAGGAAGGCTCGATTTCTGGCAAGACTGGTGACGTGGAGATGCTCGTACGCTTTTGAATGCCACGTCCCTACGGAAAAGATCCTATTTGTGTTTGGGGTGTGTCCGTGCGCAGTTCCGGCGGGACAGAGAGGAGCAGCCTGGGCCCCGGGGCCCTGGGGTTCTGATCCCTGTTCTGTCACTGAGTGGGTGGGTCCTTTATGACCTTGAGTGGGTCCGTTAGTCCCTCTGTGCCTCCTCTGCAGTCACCTGACGCTCGCCTAAGATAGAGGAATGGGAACAGAGCTCTCCGATAGTCATAGCAGTGGCCCTGGATCAAGGCCAACGTTGCCGGAGCTGGTTGGGTCCAAGAAGGACCGAAAGAAATGTCTTCAGGGCTTTGTTGGCCATTCCAGTGCTCTGGCCATGTACTGGTCAGTTTGTTAGAAAAACACCGGGGGCGGGGGTGGGGGGGTGGCGACGTGGAGATAATTATGACTCTTGTCATGGACCACTATTCAAAGAATATCAGGATTTTGGAGACCTTCAGACTTGGTTTGGAAACCGCTGACCCTCCTCTACTTTAAGCAGCCCCTCGGGGGGGACGAACGTCTGACTTCCTGACGACTCATGCTCGTCCGCTGAGATGTGGTGTGTTTCCCTTTACTTTGAAACGCTCGAAATGACCCTTCCTGGAAACAGATCCTTCATCACGGTTACCTTCCCTGGCAGTAGGTGCAGATTTTACTTATTTACACTTTTTTTTTTGCGGCTTTTAAATCATTGAAAATGCGTGAAGTCTTTGTTTTTGCCCTGAAGTAAGGCTGAATAAGAGCCATAAGACGCGCACAGGGAACGAGTCTTGTTTGTACCCAGGGACTGACTGCCCTTACAAGCATATTTTGCTTTGCTTCCTCATAGAACTGGCTGAGGGTAGAAAATGACCTCATTAAGGTTAACTAAAGTTAAGCAGATTAAGTGCCTTCCTTAAAAAGAGTCTTAGAATACTGCTAGGCCGGGTTCACACCCATGGGAGAGAGCGTGCACCAGGCTGGTAGTCTCTGCCTAAGGAGCCCTGTGCTTGAGGGGAGCTTCAGTACACAGCTGTAGCCCAGAGGGACCAAGGACTTGGGAATAGTGTGCATGGCACGAGGCCTTGGGCAGCTGGCTTAGACTTGAACCACCCACCAGAGCTGCATTGAGGTCCCCGGGTTGAGGAGAGCGTATGCCATTGCAAACCAACCACCTGCCGCTTTCCTGTTCTCCCTGCGGCACGGGCACGCTGAGTGTGACATGGACTACCCAGCCCTGGCACCTGCCGTGTTGATAGGCTCCCGTCTTGGCAGACCTCTGCCTTTGGCGCTCTGGACTCCCTGAACTTCCTGCTGCACCTTGCTGGTAGAAAGGTGGAGGTGGAGGAGGAAGTGGCACTGTGGCCCTAAAAGCACAGGTCCCCCAAGTCCCCAGAGCACCCGTTTTCTTGAGCCCCTGCCCCTGGTGTAGAGCGCCCTCTTACAGCAAGCAGAGCCTGTGACTGGAGCTCGGCTTCACCTGCCCTTGGTGTGTTTTCATCAGCAGGAGTCTCTCTGCTCACCGCACGCTGGGAGGAATCAAGATCAGCCACTGGGCGGGGCCCATCAAGGGAGGAGGCCTGCTCAGTGCTTTGTGGGGCAATGGCAGACCGTGTCCTGTGCTGTGGGGGCTGACCCCATTAGCCATCCTTAGGCTCATTCACGGGCCTGATGGACCTGCCATGACCGGCTCTCTCTGAGTCATTGCTGCCCATCATGGACCACCCACCCCTCACCCATCGTTTTACTTATTTATTTAATCATTTTATTGGGGGCTCATACAGCTCTTATCACAAGCCTGACATCCATCCATTGTGCCAAGCACATTTGTACATTTGTTGCCATCATCATTCTCAAAACGTTTGCTTTGTACTTGAGCCCTTGGTATCAGCTCCTCATCTTTCCCTCCCTCCCCCTCCCTCATGAACCCTTGATAGTTTATAAATTGTTATTTTTTCATGTCTTACACTGACCAGTATCTTTCTTCACCTACTTTTCTGTTGTCCATCCTCCTGAGAGGGGGTTGTATGTAGATCATTGTGATCAGTTCTCCCTTTCTCTCCCCACCTCCCTCTTACCCTCCTGGTATCGCTACTCTCATTATTGGTCCTGAGGGGTTCATCTGTCCTGGATTCCCTGTTTCAGCTCTTACCTGTACCTGTGTACATGCCCTGGTCTAGCCAGATTTGGAAGGTAGAATTTCACTGTCATTCTATTAAGGATCCAAGAAGCGGTTTGGAGTAATGACTAAGAACCCGGACTCTGGAATTTGGGCTCAAATCCACGCCCCC